AAACGCGGCGTTCAGCAGAACTGCGTTGATCCACCCACACAAGCGGTGGATCATCGGGGCGGAGGGGATCGGCACGCGTGCGGCGGGCCCGTTTTCCCCGTTCCGGCCCCTCTCGTGTTAGACACACACACCTACACCCACACTCACCCCCACACACCCAGCCGGGAACGATCGCGCAAGGTGAATAACCCCCCGCTTAACCTTTTTCTTCTTATTAATGAGGAGGAGGAGGAGGAGTATTAGTTAGCGTGCTCTTTCTATAAAGGATAAAATAAATAAAGAAACAAAGGAGATAAAAAGGCAGGAATAAATCACGCTGGCAGGATTTGGAAAGAGCCCTTTCACCGAGTTGAGCGATTCCGTAAATGTCACACCGAAAATTAACAGTTAATTACTGTATTAGTCTTTTCCCACCGTTTTGACCCAAAATCAGAAATAATTTTAATCTTACCCTAATTCTTATCTATTTTTTTTTTTAATATATATATATAGTGATAGGAAATTTAAAAAAAATGAATGATACCCATTGAACTCCAAGCAGAAAGATATGTGAATATGCATATACATATAGGCATATCAGCTTCTGTTTTCCCCCTTCTTTTTACACACTTACGCTTTTTTTTGCTCATCCAACAACCGTTGTATTTCTGATTTGGGGTGTGTCATAAGCAACAAAGCATTTACTGATAAATGTATATCTTTTTTTTCTATTTACGAGAGGAAATAAAGAAGAAAAAGAGGGATAAATAAAAATGAAAATTTACAACCTGTAACAAAGAGAACTGATGGAAATTTCCAAGAGGGTGTTCTCGAATTTGTGCACTTCCCTCTTTATTCCGACTCGTCCAGCCTTATCAAGAACCTCTTTCATCTTCCGCAATAAAATTAAACCCTACAGTCTTTGCACCCTTCAAAATAATAAAAAAAAGCCCTTCATCTTGTTTCTATCAGTGAAATCTTTAATCATTAGAAGATACAGCAACATCCATCAACGACCTTCTTTGTTGCTACTGGTGACTTAACTGTGCACCCATACAAAGAGTTTTCCTCACGCCCAAAAATTACGTATCCCCATACGCGAATCAATCGAGCATGAAATTGAAAATTAACTAAGAATTCCCTCGAAAAAAGGAAAAAAAAGTTATGCATATTAAATATTAAGTTAATTATCTTTTTTTCCTCCAATCTTTCCGATTTTCTCTATTCGTTTCTTCTTCTTAGGGACATGAAAATCATTATTTTTGTATCATTTAAAAAAAAAAGAACAAAAGTGTAAATGGTTTGCAGAAAGTTCGCTCATCGAAGAATATGGATAGGAGAAAGAGGGGAGGAAGAAGAGGGAAGAGAGGGGATAATGTTTAATCATTACATAACTATCCCTTTTCCCTCCTCATCTCTAATTAGCAAGAGAGACCCAATCTCACGCGCTGTACCAAAGAGCATGCGAACAAGATTTTTTTTTTAAACGAAACCCATGCCTACTAAAGAAAAAAAGCAAGATATCTCCGGAAGCAAAGTAACCGTGAGAAAAAAAAGGCAGATCAATAGAAAGGAAAAGAGGTAAGTGTGAACAGCTGTTTCAATATTTAGGAATTGCTCGCTCGTTTTATGGATATATGGCGAGCGAGCGCGATTGATAGATACCGGTATAC